TATGTGCCCTGAGGTTTGCAGCGTCTCTCCGCGAGCCTGCATGTGCTGTATCAGCTGCCATCGCTTTATGGCCCTTAACTCACCCAGCCTTCCCTGAGCCCATTTAACATGCTGACTGCTCTATTTTCCATGCAATTGGAGTTGACCAAGAAATGAGGTAAGAGCATTGCTAATAGGCTAAATGACCAACATTGTAATAAGGCTTGCCGGAGCAGCTTGATTACCACACTTGGCCCTGATGGATAATTCATGTGGAGACAAAAGGTGGCGTGGAAAGAGCACTGATCTCTGTGCACGTCTCTGGTCAAGGATGAGCCCTGCGTGCCACATATCAGGTCCTGACACTCACATAAACACACACACACACCCACACTGTCAGCTGTGACGTGCATATATCGCCACAAAGGCCACTAAGTCACTGGCGTCATGCTGTCATCCTGTGCAAAAACCAGTGGCATGCTCACACATAAACACATCATTCAGCGACTCTGAATCCATTTTCATCACCTCTAACTGTGTGGCAAGTTCTGCAGCGTTTAGAGCATCGATCATTGTGTCGTCATCTTGGCACAGAGACTGTGTCTGGACACTGCTTCATCCAACTTGAGCCCATTATTCTCAGTATTTGACAGGAAAGTTCAGGGACCATCGACATGATGGCTTGACCCACGTCTCGGACACTCGCTGAGAAGTCTGTTGAGCAGGTTAAAACACAGCTGAGCAATTTAGAAAAGGGCTAATTATAACATGCTGGGCCGAGCTGAGCCACCGAGTCACCTAGCAAGCGCAGGACTGCGTAAGGTTACTGTACGCTCACTGTGTGTTTTGTGTGCGAGAGTGAGAGACAGTGTGTTAATGTGTGTCCTCTTCCTGTCTTCCCTCACTGCCTGTCTCTCCCTCTCTAATGGGGACAGTATGAGAAGAGAGCTTGTGCTCCGTCTGGACCTTTCTAATTGCCCCTGCCACAGAGGCCTGATACAGCAAGACCCTGTGTTCCCAGCAGGTCAGGCGTGTGTGTGTGTGTGTGTGTGTGTGTGTGTGTGTGTGTGAGTGAGTGAGTGAGTGAGAGAGCGAGGTAGAGAGAGACTCGGGCAGACAGAATCATCACTCAGGTGGTGCTCCCTTGGCTCCACCACACACATACAGGCCCCACATAGAGAACACCATTCATTATAAATATCAGCGCTACAGGAGCAGAGCAGGAGTGGTGGGAAGAGATATGAAAGGGGGAGGAGAAGGTGAAGGAGGAGAGGGCAGGACAGAGAGATGAACAGAGGAGATGGGAGATATTTGTTAGACAGTAGCTCAATAAATTCTGTAGAACTTTCTAGTGTCGTTATCAGCCTTCTCTGTTGAGAAAAGGCTTCTAGGATACACACACACACACACATACACACGTATGCAGCTCCATCTTATGCGAGCACATAATCTTCCTGCAGCCCTTAGGCTTTCTACTATACTGCCAGGCCAGGTTATGAAATCCACCCAGGGCCAGGTTACAAAAATCCTCTCTGTGGTATCTGCCAGGGAAGGCAGCTCCGTGTTGACAGATGGGCACAGCATTCCTGGGCCCCGGGCCTCGCCAGCGCTCTGCCAGGAGCCGGACTGAAGGAGCCATGGAGAGGCTGACTGGCATTTCTTTACACCTATGTGCTTAATTTCTGTGGCAACCTCGAGGCACGTACGACATGAGTTACATTCCCTGAATGCTGCTCCTTCAAACTGACACTCAGGGGCAGTGATGGGCGTTACTGTGGAATGAATAGGGTAGTGATGGGTGTCATGCATGTGTCTGATTTAATTAAAACTGCACTAAAATGATATGGTAGCTACGAGGCTCATATTGATTTGGTCGCTTCTCTTTGTTAATCTCCTGCAATGTAAAACATGACTTGTAAATTCCTTTTTTCTCTGGGTTTATTCACATGTGACACCAAGATTACACTGATCTAGAGTGTTTTCTAGTGGTTTACCTCCACAGCTGAGGCAGGCTCCGTCCCATGCTGGCCCAGTTATGTGATCTATGTCCAGGCAGGGAAGAAAAGTTCGACCCCTTCCCCCCACGCCTCATGCTGCTTCCACAGGGATAGTGTTTTACATGCTCAAGGTGAGTGGAATACCAGCACAGCTTCTGTTAGCCCTGTGCTTTACTCACGCAGGGTCCCCCATCTCTCTGCCCTATCAACCACTGACCACCTGCTCCAACACCGTCCCCTAACCAGGTCACACTAATGAAACCTGCATGTGGCCACTTAGCATCCGCCGCTCAGACTGCACACAAAAATACAAACTCGGATGATTATGAGGGCAAGATATATATGTTTTTAAATTCTTTATCTTGGCAAAATTAAGCAATTTCTTGTGTTTTCATGTGAAAAAAATGTACAGTACATTCTACTTTGCAATTCAGCAGAGCATTTGGAACACAAATATAGCTTTGGCATGGCTGAACTTAATAGGCTGGCATTCTGCAAAACCATGCCACATTCTCCGCAATCACCACTCTTTAACATCTAGCACTGCATGGACACAATGTTCCAAGACGCAGTGCACAGAGGGTGCCCTGCCAACTCCTCAGACAGTGAGAGATTACAGTGATTACTCCTAAAGCAATCTCACTATGGCCTGATGTATGCATGGGGGTACAAAAAAAAGAGGGAGGGGGGCTGGTTTGTTGGGTGGGGGTTCAGGAACATTGGCAAGTTTCACAGCCCGAGAACAAAAAAAGACCTGCAAAACGTGAGCGAGTCGTTGACCTCGAAATCACTGTTAAAACACGGTGTCCCCATTTGGTAATTATCCTCCTCCAGAGATGAGGTCAGGCTGAAAATCAGCTGAAAACAAAGTGGGATGATGATGGCAGCGGTGACGACGGGAGCGAGAGAAAGAAAAGGAGAGGGGAAGAGGACATGACAGGGTGAAAATGAGAGAGAGAAGAGTGAGAGAGTGTTGTGGAACTCACTGCTTGGTGTGAGTGAGCATGGGAAATGCGTGGGACCATCACTGGCTCCAAGGGGATCTGTTTGGTGACTGACGCACACGCACGGACGTACATATATGCATGGGTACACACTCACGCACACATAGACACACACAACCAAGTGTAGAGCTATTCATTCACTTTGGCTTAGTCCTCTCAACAACCCTCCATTTAATGCTTAGCTGCAGCAGATGTCCATCTGAGCTACTGCAGTTTTTTTTGTGTGTGTGCAAAAATGTTCCCAAATTTAAGAATAAAATGTGTGCAAAGTGTTCATTTGGATCACATTTCCTAATTTACACAGCAAAAATCTGTAGTCTGCAGCTGTTAGCGTTGCTTTTCACTTGTCGAGGGGTGATGCACAGACAGTGCTGCCTGAGTTGCACCACCAGAGGGCAAAATCTGGTCAGAAACTATAATAGAGAGTCTCTCAAGCTCACATGCATGTACACACAGACACACACAAACACATGTTCATGTGCCTACATGCACAGCTGCACACTCCCCACTATTTGACACACATCCAAACCTTATGTCAGCATTTACATTCTTCCACTTGTGGTACCATATAGTATATACAATTCACAGCATGAACAGTTTATATTATACATTCTGTTGAATGTATAGAGCTGGATGTATAGCAGCTTTGCTGAGCACTGAATAATCTACTGCAACTGAAATGCAATGACTGACCCTTAAATCCCACCAGAGTGTCATGTTTAGGGAGGGAAATGTGATGTATGAGAGTTCATTTGACTGCCCACCAGGGTCAAACCTCCACACAGCACAGGTAGCTGCTGACTCAGCTCAAGGCTGACTCCCCTATGAGCTCACCTCATGGTAGATTATGGGTCCACTGGAGTATGTCCATGCTCAAGCCAAACTCTGGCAGCATGGAGCATGATGTGGCCTTTTCTCATGTCTAGTTATTTTTATGGCTGAGGTGGTGGTGGAGCCATTGGGAGGTCTGATTACCCTTTGGAATAGGCCAATACAATCAAGTGTCCCTGCAGTGAATCTGTGAATCCAGCTTTGACGAAGCAAGACTGCAACAGGCGGTTGTGAAGTGCAGCAGCAGCGTGTTATTACGCAGCATTTGCTGTATGCTGCATATTCAGCTCCATCGAGGTAAAGCTGAGCGGCCCACGCCTGTGCAGCTTTTTTTTATGCTATGTTTTTATGTTTCATATACGTCTGAGGGGAGAAGTTAGCCATAGGTGGTTCAGGTCAGCTGTTGTCAAGCCCATGCTGAGGGGCTGAGGGAAACAGAGCCGCTCAGGGCCATGACGTGTGCTGTTACTGCATGCGTGTGCACTTTTATACGGCTTTAATTACAGACTGCGAACACAGACAGACTTGTTTATTCTGCTGCGTAGTATACACTGAGGCCTGGTTGGCACCACAAACACACGTGCCACACACACACAGACACACAGACACACACACATTGCTTTGTAGTAGTAAAAGTATCTATCCTGGACAGCGCAGCAGGTTGTACCTGCCAGTGGAGTGAGTCACTTGTATTTTATGTCCGTGAATTTAGTCATTTATGGATATCTGAGCGCAGGACATCATCACTAACACCCAAGGTCGTCTGACGTTCTTCTTTTCATCATTTTTGTGATAAATAGCTCACATCTTTTTCTACTTTGAGGGCATTAAACAGTTCAAAGTTTCCAGAATTATAGTAGGCTATCAGCACCATAAAGTTGTATTCTAATTCCCTTAGCTTAAACAAACAGGCTATTTAAAGGGCATCAGCCTAACATAGGCTGCTTTATTTTGAGTAGACGAAGAAGGTATAAATAGACTTTGAGGAGTGCAACAAGCGAATGCTTCATATGAAATGGCTGGCGTTACATCATTGCCTGTGAGAGTGAAGTTCTGGAGAGGCGCTGGGCTCTCTGGGCCAGCCATTATGGTTTGTACTAATGTTCTGGTTTCACAATCCAAACATTCTAAGAGCTGTTATTTGCTCTCTTTTTCCCTTTTACTCAGTAATTCTGCTTCTTTTTTTCAGCCGAGCAAAGCTGTCAACAGAGAGGAGAAGCAGCTTTAAGTGGGAGACAGAAAAGGGATGGAGGAGGAGGAGGAGAAGGAGGAGGAGGAGGAGGAGGAGAGAGACGGGAAGAAGGGAGTTGGATGGAGAGAAAGAAGGAAAAGTAAAACAACACAAACAGATTCAACAAGTTTGCAAACTGTGTCACCTGTGGGGTAAAGTTATATTGCGCCATGTGTCCATATTCATCTGTCCATATATGCGTAGTGGTGGCATGGGTGTATATTTGTCCATGCATGTGCTGAAAGAAAAGAAGGTCAGTTTGATTAAAGGATGAAAATGGCTGAATGTTTCTTGGCACACTCCCGTATTCCCAACCACTCAAACAGCAAGGTGTATCTCTGTGCAGACAGTCTGAGGTCTGGGGAGGCAGCGTCCACCATGTGGTTGGCATACTGCAACTCATCATTACTGCTGGCTTCAGCCAACGCTACTGAAATGACTTGTATAAGCGAATCAGTGCCGCTGTGAGGAGTTCCAACTGGTAGCAAAATCACAGGACAAACCAACGTCCCCCATCATGCTTCTTTCCCGCATTTATCCTCTGTCAGTAACAGAGCCTGCACTTTTTCAAACACGGTACGATGAAGAATAGCTGATTGAGCACATTCTGACACCAGACTTGTGTCTGTAAGTATTGGCTTGTGTGCTTGCCATCTCGTACGAAATCCGAACGAGAGAGAAAACGTTTAATTTTGAAGTGCAGAGATGATGAGATGAAAACATAACTTGTGGTGGAGACGTTTACGGTGGCCGCTGAAACGGGGCTGGGATGTGTCCCAGTTGTGTTCTATATTCTGTCTTTCTGTATGACTGCATGAATGATTACGAGATAAACGCAGTTGAAACCACTAAATGTATGAATGTGGTCTCAGACAGTACTACTGTACACCGTTGTCCAACAATGCAATGCGCAATTAAAATAGCTCTGTCTGATGGGAACAAAATCTGCCTACCAAAGGTTTGCTCCAGACTCGGTAAGTGTTAGTCCATTGTGCATTTTGGTTAAACATGTCTGTTTAGTGACTGGAGTTTTCTCCCATTACATTTAATAATAATAATCGTGACTTTGTTGCAGCTTGATCTTTTTAAGTGGCAGTAAATGCTCAGGATCACGTCTGTGCTTTCTAGGGGTAAGTAACTCTATCACATGCACACACAGACATGTTCATGCACAGCTGCACACTCACCACCATTTGACACATATCCAAACCTTATGTCAGCATTTACATTCCTCCACTCGCGGTAACATATAGCATATACAACTCACAGCGTGAACAGTTTATACTACACATTCTGTTGAATGTATAGAGCTGGATGTATAGCAGCTTTGCTGAGCACTGAATAATCTACTGCAACTGAAATGCAATGACTGACCCTTAAATCCCACCAGAGTGTCATGTTTAGGGAGGGAAATGTAATGTATGAGAGTTCATTTGACTGCCCACCAGGGTCAAACCTCCACACAGCACAGGTAGCTGTCATGTTTGAGCTGGGAGGTCTCAAGGCTGACTCCCCTATGAGCTCACCTCATGGTAGATTATGGGTCCACTGGAGTATGTCCATGCTCAAGCCAAACTCTGGCAGCATGGAGCATGATGTGGCCTTTTCTCATGTCTAGTTATTTTTATGGCTGAGGTGGTGGTGGAGCCATTGGGAGGTCTGATTACCCTTTGGAATAGGCCAATACAATCAAGTGTCCCTGCAGTGAATCTGTGAATCCAGCTTTGACGAAGCAGCAGCGTGTTATTACGCAGCATATACTGTATGCTGCACATTCAGATTTACCTGTGCAGCTATGTTTTTATGTTTCACATACGTCTGCGGGGAGAAGTTAGCCATAGGTGGTGTAGGTCAGCTGTTGTCAAGTCAATGCTGATTTAATTTCCTTTTAGTTATGTGAAATAAACTTCTTTGTAGCTACAACTCACGTGTGGTCTTTCCTCCTTTGTCCGGCCTTGAGCCGGTTTGTGACCAACTGGGGGCTCGTCCAGGATCAGATTAATCATTTTGGTAAGATGAAGTCTAGGCTTTGTGGTTTGGTTTGTGTTGCTACCTCCTGTGATAATGAAGATTTGTTAACCCGTGTGAAGGCGTTTAGAGCTTTGGTCAAAATTACAGCTTCCTACTTGTTTAAATGCAACTTTGGGAAGCTGAAGAACTCATACACGAGATTTTTTTAATCTCATGAAGCAAAGCAATATTCAAGTCCTTTGTCCTTTTTGTTTTTGCTCAAAACTCCAACTGCCTAGTCACACTCACTTAACTAAAACATGGCCGAACGTTCAGTTCTGCTCACTAACCAGTTGGCAACATGGTTGTTCATAAATGATAAGCTAGGGAGCTGAGAATTAAGGCTGGAGGACACCACATTGGTTTCCAGTGAATAAGTGCTCCCCATCAGTAGCTGCCTGAAGACGAGGATCGAGGTTATATAGCTGTATGTTAGTTAGGGGGAAGCCCCCAGTTTGTTTGTGTGTCTGTTAATGCACTTTTTGTGTGTTGTATCAGATTTGGTGAAAGGCAGTGATTAGTTACCTTCCTGATTGTGAGCGTCATATAGTCAGAGTTTGGGTGTAGATTTTTACATTTGTCAGGGTGACTGGCTGTCCCACCTGTATAGTGGTCAAACAGATTTACTACCTGTGTGCTTGGGAAGCTATTGTGCCAATGTTGGCATTGTGCATGATTAGCAATTAAAAAACCCACAGCTGGCGGACCTGTTATTAAGTAGTGACTACCATCAGCCAAGTCAACAACTCTGCTGGACACTCGGCCATCGTACATTAAGTCCTTACAGAATAAATAGAAATGTGATATTTTGACTAATAATGTGCGAGTTGAAGGAAAGTCAAATCACCTCTGGGTCAGTGAGAAAGCTATTGGAACACAATTTGTTTAAGCTTCGTACAAATGGCAGGTCTTCATCCCAAAGACAAATTTCAGTTCATTACAAAGACAAATGTTGGGAAAAATGAACCCAGTGTACTCGCTGTGTTCTTTTCAAGCTGGCATGCTGTTAAACCTAACAATTGGTCTTTCACCAGGTGTTGGGCTGCTTAAAGCGGATTTGTCAATGGGCTGCCATTATTGCATTGACACAAGTCATGTTTTCTTAATCTGTAATTACTCTGCAATTGCAAACCAGCTGTAAAATCACAAGGATGGCTGTTCTCTACATGCTATTGGTCTGAGCTGCTAAACTGTCCCAGCATTTTCTTTTTTTACATATAATTGAAGTGAAACTGCCGGAGAGCGTTCTCCGTGCAGATCCTTTGGACAGTCTTGCTATAGTGAACAAAGAGCCTTGCATCCAACCTTGTGTAACATTCCTACTGGAACTGAGAATCTTCCATAAACTGTCTGAGTAGAAAATAGTAAAGCATTGGTGAAGAGACTGATTGTGGATGGCTGAGTCTTCCAGATGTTTGATTGCAGTTCCAGTGAAAATAGCTCTTTGGGTAATTGTCCTGCCATCTTAATACCTCCCCACTGATACATTTTATGAGAGAGAGGCTGAGATAATAGTGAAGAATGAAGCCTGCAAAAAAACCCAGACTGTTCGTGCATGTACTTGTCGTTCAGATTAGACAGAAACTGTGTGACAAATCCACAAGAGAGAGAGAGACACCAATAGAGAACAAGAGTTGAGGGCTTAGTGTTTCTCTGTTATCATTCCTCAAGCAAGACACTATAGCCTAACACATCCAACACAGGGCGCATGCTGCAAGAGGCACCGAGGGAGTGCCTGGCATGGTTGGCATGGTGCCGTGGCCTGTGCTGCCTGGTGCATGCCACTCATTTCTGTGTGAAGCTGAAGCTGTCGCCACATGGACAGCTGGTTGTGAGCTGCAGAGCCCTGCGAGAGCACAAACCACCACATCCTTCTACACCGTCAATAAGCTGGTGCATAATACCCATAGATCCGCATCAGTTTACCCTCTCTAAATCGCTACCAACGAAATTTGTCTGGAGACCATGAAACTGACCTTAGACAAGCGCCTGGAAACAAAATGACACCCTCAGGCGTTCCACAGCAGTGCAACAGGACCCTGTCCTGAGTTAGATGAGCCTGCTTTCAATCAGCACACATCAGGCTGTATATCAGGTCTAATTAGTGCATGTGGGCCTGCAGCACAGAGCTTGGTGTGAGACATGAGCTTTCCGTGCACTGTGAGCTCTCCCCCGCACGGCACAACCAGACCTCGTGCCTATACGGCTTGTATTGCGTGGGACGTGACGCACAACTTTTATGGGCTCACCATTTCTCATCTTAACAGCACATGTGTCGCAGTCTGAACAAGATTCCACAACAACTGGATCAAAAACATGCAACACGGACATTCATATCCGTGCCGCTCTCGCACACACACGCCGCGGTGCTCAGCAGGGCCAAGTGTCTTACGAGTTACAAGAGTGGACGGATTTAGGCCTTAAACAGATAACAGAGGTCTGAAGGGACAGAAAGAGGAGGGGGAAAGGTTGAACGATACAGTTTGGTTAGATGTGTGAGTGCAATGTTGAGAGGCTTTAAGGACGTACAAATGGGATTAAGGCTGTAAAGATTTGTATGAAAAACCTCATAAACATCTTTCAATGGACATAATGTAATTTATCATAATTTACTCAGCAGTTATGCATGGCTCTTAGTGACAAACCCACAGAGGAATATCACCTGACTCTGCAGGTTTCAGTGCCTTTCAGTTTGTTGTTTGGTTTTGTGGCACGCAACTTTTCTGTTTGTTGCTCCAGTCTCAACACTCTCATCACCCCATGTTTTCTGTCTCAGGCAGGCAGATGTTTTTGGTGAAAATGCTCTAATAAACCCACTGTACACTACCTGCCCTGCTCCAAATGGCTGACAGACAAAGTCAATAACCAGCTGAGGTGAGCACAGTGGAGCATGTAGCAGCTTAAGAGCCAGATATTTCTCTCATGAGTGAGCTGAGACCAAAGACGGAGCTAAAAGGTGAGTGAATATTAGACTTGCATTAGTCAGGTGTCCAGAATCATGACTCCAAATGTTGCTGTTTGTCTGCTGAATGTATAAATAAGAATATGTTCACTATAACAATTTTATAAGGGGATAATACTGTAATGATGTGCTTACAGCTTGTTATGCTGCCCCCCATTGTCCAAAAAAGCAATTAAATGAGCTACTAATGTTTTTTTGAGAGCATTAATATAGCAGCAAACAAGTATTTGCTATGTAAAGATATAGTAGAGTAATGACGTCCTGAGCAGCGAGTGAAGTCACGCTACCTCTTTGTGTGTTGTAATCCGAGCTTCTCTGTTCTTTGTTGTGGTAGCCAGCCGCACGTGCATGTTAGTGCATTGAAGTCTGTGTGTGTGTGTCCCACTGGCTAGCTAATTGCCACTGCTTGACACTGCACCCAGATAATGGCTACCGCTGATAACTCTGTCCCGATCCACAATGCAAGCATCGCGCCCACCCCCAGGTCCCCCCTGTGTTAACACTGTTAGCTCTGTCAGCACTGTTGCCATTGTTAGCAGTGTTTGCGCTGTTAGCACAATTAGCCGCTAACCGGCAGGTCAGCCACCTCCATGTTGAGAGCCGTGTGCAGACAATCCTGGCTCAGACTCTGTATTACAAACCCTTTTTACACAGAGATTCGGCACTAGGATTGCAATGAAGACCCTTTATTACGCTGCCTTTTTATACATATATATGTATATGACCAAATACCATCAGCATAAAGCCACATTAGTGTGTGATTTAAGTAATGAAGTCAATGGAAGCTAAAACAACGTGATGGGCGTGATGTGTAACACGATAGCGTTGGCCTCTAGTGCAACATATAACTTAGCATTTAAGATGACAGCACTTTCATAACAATAACAAGGAATTCCTTGACCTTGTTGTCTCTTCAATTTGTGGACATCCTCAGCTGCTGTTATTCTTCTTTGAGTTAGCTGTTAGCTGCTGCTAGCTGCTTTTGAAGTCTCCCAGCAGTGGGTCGCACACATAATACCTTTTCAAAACGTCACACCTGTCCCATTATGTCAGTTGTCCCTTTAACAAAGATGTCTTTGCTGCCGGCCTAAAGGTCCACCCATTCCACCACTGTACCTTTTCTACGGAATTGTGAGGCGGAATAACGGCCCAACATTCCCGCCTTAAACAGGCTGTGTAAAAGGGGCTATAGATATGCTTTGAATTTCACATGCAACTCTTATAATGCCGCTTTAGCCTATTCATACTGAATGCATTTCCTCCCTCATAAATTGTTTACAAAGCAAATTCTTAAAAATGCAGATAATGATCTTGTCTTTTTGGGTCAGCATCACATTACCTGCAATTCCTGTTCCTGGAGGCTCCAGAATGACGAGAGAGGACAGTGCAGTGGAGAGGTGTGTGGTGGGGTATTTGAACAGAGCTGCCCCTCAGAGCACTGTGTACGTCCCTGGCTAGCTGCTGGCCTCAGGGCAGAGATTGGCTGAGCTGTGTGACTTTATTGGGAAAATTAGGGTAAGTGGTGTGGTGGGGAGCATGTGGGCGGACTGGGGGGGCGTTCTGAGCGGGGGTGGGTTACTGACAGGGGAATTTACTTACTGGCCCTGGAGAGACGTTCCTCAGTTACGTTGTGGCTGTTGAAAAACTAATCCTTGCAGTAAATCATGACATTATACATCCACACAGCTAAAATTATCCGGTGAAGGTCAGGCAGAAATTGTGACCAGGGTTTGGCTGCATTCTGACAAAGTGCTAGCAATCCAGAAGTAGACAAACATCCAGATAAACATAGTTCTATCACTCTGGCAGCTTCGCACAGCTCCCTGACAATGTCCAAACATTGCAATTTCAATTTGCACGCCCTGAATCATTACACAAAATGCAGGTATTTTAGGTAGGCCGAAATTGTTTTATTATTTTTAACACAGTAATTGCAAGGCAAATGGTCTTAATTGTAACCCCAGCCTCTGAAATAAACAAGGCTGAAAAACGAAAGTGGTGATTATGGTTTCCTTGGGCCTGATGTGGGATTTGTGAAGCTGCTGCCAACTGCGTTTTCATGTCACTGTTTCGAGTTCCTGCCCAATATAGACACACTGAATCACTCATCAGAACACATGCTTTAATGGAGGACAGTTCGAAAGGCTCTGTCCAGCACAGGAGAGATACTGAATCTATCCACCCCCATTATTCCCCCCTCAGTGGAATGTTCCATAGGCAGTAACCTCCACAATTACCCCTGCCCCCGTGATGAATGGTGGAAAAACTGGATTTGACAAATAATATCTATCAGCGCTTCTTTTTCCCAGAAAACAGTTAAATAGATATGGTGCAGCCAGAAGAAATGCACAAATGTCATTATAACATACAGGAAGGATTTCGATGCCTCAATTTGAATAATGCTAAATGTCTGCGATATGATTTGACATTGGTGCCAGAGCTCAGCGAGAGGCCAAAGCCAGCAGTCTGGGACCTCTGCCTCTCTAGCTGCCTTTAGCAGATGCTCCTATCACCACATTTAAACATTTTTCTTTAAAGCCACAGTGTGTAGGAATTTCTCCCATCTAACGCTGAAATCATATATTGTATTCAAACAGATGGCGCACTCTAGCGCCTCACTGTTTCAAACACGTATTGCAACAACTGTAGCCGCTGTGTACCAAAAAGCTATGATAACACTGATGAAACCATGTCATCCGATACTACATGGAGTATTCATTCAGGCTCCTACACAGACACACGCGACGCGAGTTGACAAACCCCCTCCTCACCATGCTGGCTGTGTTTACAATGTAGGACTGTTGGGGCGGATGTAAATTGAAACAAACCAATCACGTCTTGTCCTTTGACAACTGACAAGTGGCTCAACCTCACACACCTCATCCCTCTCCTCGCATTACTGCGCCGCTAACAGCTGTTAGTGGCCAGCGGCACTACTGCCGCATAACAAAGTCCCACTCTTTGAGCATAATGCAGGATCATGAATTATGCAGCATCACGGGAGACGGAATCCTCGTCGCCAAGAAAGTGCAAAAGGGAATCAAAAAGGCAGCGTGACCGGCGAATTAAAAAAACAAGGGTCAGCATTGGGGTTGCCTTTCCCAGGTGGAGAGAGCTGCTGAAGGAGAAAGGTAATACAATCACAGGCCAGCGCTAAAAGCGGCTAACAGCTAACAGCGGCGCAGTGATGCGAGGAGAGGGATGAGGCTGTTAGCGACTGGCCGCTAACAGCGGCTAACAGCCAACAGCGGCGCTGGCTTGTGATTGCATTACCATTCTCCCTCAGCAGCTCTCTACCTGGGAAAGGCTACCCCGATGTGGGCCTTCGTTTTTTTAATTCGCCGGTCACGCTGCCTTTTCTATTCCCTTTTGCGCTTTCTTGGCGACAAGGATTCCGTCTCCCATGATGCTGCATATGCATGATCCTGCATTATGCTCAAAGAGTGGGACTTTGTTTCAAATTTGCCAGGGTAGTAGCGAAGCGCCTCTTGCTCCTCTCCTTCGGCTCCTCAGTCACGCAGTGCTGGCCTGGCTCTCAACGAAAACGCCGAAGGCGGTGCTGTATGTCCCTTGCTGGCGGGTGTATTCTCAAGATGGCGAAATGTAATGGAACCCCACAGACGACTTACCCGCACAATGTACAAACAAATCCGAAATTCTCCTTTTACGAAAATAAGTCAGATTATTGGTGGAGGTAATAGTACACCAGTGATGACATATTTATGAATGCAGACATCAATTTTTGCCAATAAACAAAAATGTTACACAATGTCCCTTTAAAGATCAGACTACAGTGGATGATATGAACATGAATCTGCTGTCATTAGATATCAGCAGCTGCTTCAGGTACCTTGTTGAATGCACTCGGGCGTTAATGGCAACTAGACTGAGATGCTAATTCACCCATGTTGTGGCAGAGTGGATTGTAGGGCAGAGGTGAGGGTGTGACCTTTTTTTTTGCATAGACTTGATTCCTGCTGCCTCAGCTTGGCGTCCTCTTCTCAGATGCCGCTGCCAGGCGCTCACTATGGCCATTTTGCTACCATGCCAGTGTTGTGCTTGGCCAGACGTAGGAAGAACTGAAGTGTTGGCAGCACGCAACTCTTCAAACACAAACACACTCACACACACAATGCCCCGAGAGGTCCAAGCCAGTCACACAGGTGTAATGATTTAAGACCCAAATTAGCTTTTAATTTGACTCCTGTCTGTTTTAGGTTGTTTATGGGTGATTTGCTGACTGATGTTGTGGTCCATTTGGAGACAGATGGTGGCTGGTAAACACATAAACACACATACACACAAACACACCTTTCTCATTAGGCATACTTTAAAAAGAGTGAATTTGTTATAACTATATGGCTTTAGTAATGGTAAAAAAAAAAAAAAGTATACATTAGAGAGGCAGTTCAACATTTTGGGAAACACGATTATTCACTTTTTTAAAAGTTGAGGGTGACACCGAAAACACACCACGCTGCAGCAAAGTGTGACCTGCAGCAAAATTACATTCTTCTGCAACTGAGAAGCATGTTCATGTGTTTCATGAGGGGAAAAAATCTGTGTAACATAGGTCAGCATGTCACAGGAGTCACAGGACTCTGTTTACTAACTGGCTTCAGATACTCTCTTAATGGGATTAGTCGCAAAAGGTTTAACTGTTACCAAATTTTAGTTTGGCTGCACTTTGCCACTGATTAGATTGGCTGCACCTAGAAGTGGCTGCCGAACACATTTTTATCCCAACTTGTCACATACTGCCACTTTGTCAGTTGACGTACATGTCAAAATATGACGCCCTAGGTGCCCTCTAGCATCTGATTTGGACATTCACAGACCACATGTATGTATTTCAGTTTTCACAGGAAATGTACAGTTTCTGCTTGTTACCTGCAAAAAGTATTTTTCAAAACTTACAATCTAGGTAAAATACTTTGTTTTCAGGTTGATGTCCTTAGGTTTAGGCAACAAAAGCACATGGTTAAGTTTAGAAAAATACATCTTGGATTAACTTAGAATTCACACAGGAACCAAACAATGGGCATCCAGGTAAAGGTCCGGAGTTTTTTCTGCCGCCGACCAGTGCGTATCATACTGCTACAATGGGGCGCCTCTCTGCATCTGTGTCTCAAAATGAAGGTCTACTGACAAAGTAGCGGTGTATGACGACTTGGATTGGTGCCCACTGTCTCTAAAACTGGTATTTATCATATAGCTGTGGGGGGAAAAATTGATATAGCATAGTATCGCGATATTTTGCGCAGCGATATTGTATCGATACACAGACACCAAGAATCGATCTTTTATTATATACATTATTCATTTTTGCAAATATACATTTTAATACAACTTTTGGTAATAAAATGAATTGCTTTTTCTGGTCCACTAGATGGTGCTGATGTTTGTTTCCTGGTGAGGTCAACAGAGGTCACAGTCAGCATCTGGCAGGAAGTTCATCAAAACAAAGATGGAGGCACCAGAGAAAGAAATTAGAAATGTGCAGTATTTAAATTAAACGTATGGACTTATTTTGGATTTTTTAACACTGGAGGAAAGGAGGACTTGGATATGACACATGATTTGCAGCAGTGTCATATGAGAATGAAATACTTCGGGAATACTACGAACATGAGGGCTTACCTCATACTCCACCATCCAGAGATAGCATTAGCCGCTAACGCTAAACCAGCTCTGCTGAAAAATCAACCAACACTGGATTCTTAGCTCGACAAAACTACCATCTAACTCTGAGAGAGCTAAGAAAATAACGCAGTCCATAACCTACTTCATGTGCAAAGATCTGCATCCATACAGTGATGTTGAAAACAAAGACTTTTGTTACATGCTAAAAACACTCAGTCGGTATGTGACTCCGCCCTGACGTTTTTTCACCAACATAGCAGTACCCAAGCTCTACAGAGAAGTTGAAGCATACAGCTGAGGAATCTTTGAGTACAGCAGGAAGGGTGGAATTAACTTGTGACACCTGGACTTCAAGGTCAGTGGATTCATATGTGACTATAAGGGCACATTATCTCACAGAGAACTGCTACTGTCTCATGTTCTCCAAACTGAAGCAGTACATGAAAGTCACACCGAAGCAAACACTGCAGACCTCCTGCAAAATACAGCCGACAAAAACCTTGTCACTGTATCAGACAACGCTTCTAACATGGGTGTTACCATTGAGTTAGCGGGATGCCTGCTTGTGAAGTGTTTCCCTCACATGATTAATCTGGCCTTGCAGAGGGCATTAAATCTGCCAACAGTTCAGTTTGTCAGGTGTATGCAGCATTTCTGACAGGTTTTATGACTGTGTTGGTCAGTCCGTCTGCTTTGCATCACATTTTGCTGCAATAAAAATGATTGAGGTCAGATGATCAGACTGAAAACTTTATGTTATGTAACTGATGTTGACAAAGTTTTCCTTTGGGGAAATAATTTGCAGCTGGTCATAAATGTAGTAAATTCCAATATATCACAATGTATAAGTATCGCAATACTCAGCATATCGCAATAATATAGTATTGTGATCTAAGTATGGTGATAATCTTCTTTTATAGAATTTTTATACACTCAGAATTGGGGCACTCAAATATAATGACGGACAGTAATTGTAGTGCACTATATTAAAATAAGTAAGTAGTAATTTTGGAAACAGCCTTGACAACCAGTGGTAAAACACTGACTTCATAGCATCTCGCATGTTGCTTAGCAACCTCATGATGATGACAAGTTTTCAGAAACTTAGGACAGAGCCAGAAAAGCTGTTTGCCCCTGTTTCCTGTCTTTAAGCTAAGCTAAACTAATCACTTCCTGGCCACAGCTCCTTTCTTAAGGCACAGAAATGAGAGTATCAATCTTCTCATCTAACCCTCAGTGGAAAAAGTGAATAAGTATATTTCCCATAATGTTTTACTTTAACGCTTCATTGACTCCAGGTATAAAAAATTCCCTTGGCAGATGTCTGTCCCCCTCTAGCATGACTTTGTCTTGTTAACTAGCTCTATCGCACAAACAGATCTAGTGCTGCTGCCAGTTAAATCTTGTTCCTTCTGTTCAAAGGCTGCAGAGCACCTAAACCAAATCCAGTAATGCACACTTAATCAACATGAATGATGCAAGACCTGGTAATTGTGGAGGAATAACCCTTTATCGATGACCGCTTATAACTGCAGAGATGATTGCTCATTGTCATGTGAGAAACTCATGAACCTTAATTAAGGGAGTACTTAACCCACAAACTGACCATTTGTATATTACTCATGTTACCTTGTATTTGAAGTAAAAGGGGACTGTGTTTAACAACAGCAAAAATATATGAAAACACCCTTTGCAAACTCATGCAGTATAATCTGAGTCTCATTTATCCAGTCGTATGCTCAGTGTTTCCCAAACACTATGTGGGAAGTACTGAACATACGACTGGATGAGACTTGGATTATAGGCCACTGCATGAGTTGTGTAAGAGTTTGCAAGTGGCTATTTTGATCTCGGTTTGCTGTTGTAAAATGCCTGACCCCTGTGGCCTCAATTCATCAAGAATTGTCTTCATTTTTGGATGCCTACATCGTAGCCTATGCCATTGTAAGCATTTATACTTGTGCGGTGGTGTGTCTGTGTCACTCTGTAGTTACACCTCCAAAACACTAGTTGGCTTCTGTCTGCTTCTTTCTATGAAGTGCTGTAAAGTTTAGTTAATTCATAAAACACCCAAAACACACATTAAACATGGCTTAATAGAGACCATTTCAAACACAAATACACAAATCAGCTTCACTATAACTTGCAGCATTCACAGACAAGGCACTTGTCTTTATCTGGACACATTTTCCCCACAAATACAACATGCTAAAGTTTTGAGCACAAGCCTATGACATTTCACATTGTATAAATTAGCTTAGCAGCTAGCAGACTTTTCCTCCACTCATATGAAGCCAGGGACAACAGCAACATTTAACAAAGGTAACGTTGCAAAATTCGGTCCCATTACAACTCACAAGATTCACCGCCAAAACAACTGTCTTATACTAAATACGTTTTCCAAACAAATATAACATGCTAACATTATTAGCACAAGCCCAGGGCGTTTTCCATTGTATAAATTAGCCTAGCCTAGATTTCCTCTGCTCATATGAGGCCAGGATAAATCCGGATGTATAAATTGTTTGTAGTACCATTGGAAATTGTCTTCACATTTTATTGTTTCTTTTATGTGACATTAAAGTAAATAAAAGCTTAGTTTCCACTGAGGGAAATGGTTTAAGCTTACAACAATAGAGAGGAGGTTGGCGTTGCCGCAATGTGTAGTTACATTTCAGGGGAGGTGCACGTCAGGCTACAGCGTAGGGTACGGCGTCAATTCGCCACAGATGTATAAATCCCGCACAACTGATATACAAATGATGGTTTTGTTGTATGGGGTGCCGTTTGTAAAGTGGCTCACGCTGAAAATAACATCAACATTTTGCCACATTTAGCTTCAATGTTTAAAAAAGTGTTGTGAATTTTTTAACGTCACCTTTTACCACATTTACAGCAATATTTGTTAACTTAGAAATATATTAAATAGTTAAATCTAAATATTAAATGTGGCACCTAAATGTTAAATGTTAAATCTAAATATTAAATCTAAATCTAAATGTTAAATCTAAATCTAAATGTTAAATCTAAATGCTAAATATAAATATAAATATAAATGTTAAATCTAAATGCTAAATATAAATATAAATATAAATTTATATTTAACCCAAAGTACACGTGAAAGTACACGTCAAATAAAATTTCTCCAAACATGTTTCTTGTTATTTTAGGTAGTTATTATCACGCTAATGTATGTTCAAGTGTTCATTTCCCCCGATAAGTTGGTTTTAATTCGTTATTTGATTCTATAAACACAGTCTGACCATCTCGAGCTTTTATTTTGGTACTTCCGGTGACCGGCAGTGTGAATTTGCATATTAGCTAAATATTTAGTTTCACCCAGAACATTTAGATTTAACATTTAACATTTAGATTTATATTTAGCATTTAGATTTAACATTTAGATTTAGATTTAGATTTAATATTTAGATTTAACATTTAGATTTAGATTTAAATTTAGCATTTAGATTTAACATTTAGATTTAGATTTAGATTTAATATTTAGATTTAACATTTAACATTTAGGTGCCATATTTAATATTTAGATTTAACTATTTAATATATTTCTAAGTTAACAAATATTGCTGTAAATGTGGTAAAAGGTGACGTTAAAAAATTCACAACACTTTTTTAAACATTGTTTGAAGCTAAATGTGGCAAAATGTTGATGTTATTTTCAGCGTGAGCCACTTTACAAACGGCACCCCATATTGTTGCTGAACAAGTCCTTTAATGACTCACATACTAACGTTTGCTGTTAATAGGTCCACTATAAAGGGTCATTTCACCACACATATATATATTTTTTTAATGGATTTCAGTTTGAATGCTCTGGAGCTTTTTTTTTCCAGATAGTAAGACGACTGGAGGTCAAACTCTCCACCTTACTGGATTCCTGATGAATCAAAAGTAGCTTACATAGTTTAGAGTGGCTATGGCAACTATGGCTTATTACTGATCTACGAAGCATCACTAGGGTAATAGGAAGGATAATATTTTGAGAGCCATTCGTTAAAACTTTATTAGCTGCTATGGTTTCACATCCACACAATGATTAATGAGATTGAAATCACAAAATGCACAAGGGTAGAAAATTGTCTCTTTCATGTGTCTGTCAGCACGTCAGCTGCACCAACCTTCCAAATTCAATATTCCTCCAATATATTTCATCCTAGAAGTAATTAACCGTAACTCTGATAATAAAAATGGCATCTTGGCAAATCCCTGAATAGCCGGTGGCAGCTTATCTGCCACAACAGGAGCTACCTTGAGTAACCCTGTTTCAGCTTCTCTCTCTCCCTCTCTTTCCGCTTTCCCAACCTCTGTCTCTCGCTGTCTCTCTTATTCAGGCACATTTTCACAAGTATCCCTGCAGCTGCAAAAACACACACTCGCACATGCATGCACACACATTATTAAGCTAATTTGGAGCTGACATAGAGCCTTTTAAATAGATTGTAGTTGCTCCCCAAGCTGAGGACGAGGTTCATCCCATGGAGATATTTTAATGACGGAACACAGATCTACATAAGCTAGTAAGCAGGAGGGCGTTAAGACGTTACCTCAGTTCATCCCTCGTGTACCCTCTCTTTTCTCAACCCATGTATCTCCCTGTCTCTCCCTGAGTCTTCACCAAAACTCAGCTGCTTTATGAGAGGTGGTCATTATTTTTGCTTTGCTTTTCTTACTCTTCCTCTATATCCTCATCCTGTGTTCCACCTTTTATCTCTTCAGAGCTGCAGCAGTGCTGGGGAAAGACAAACAGGCTTCTCTTCAATCCCAAAATAATCTCTGGAAAGACATATCACCTGATGAAAGTGATGATGGGGCAACGATATAGAAGTTTAAACTGTAGCATATGATCTTGTTTGAATGAAAAGAAAATAGTTATGACTGGAGGAAAGAAAGTGAGGGCTGGCTGGCTGTGGGTTGTTTGAGGCTTATCTTGACTCACCATCAACGGCTAGCTCAAGCACAAGCCGAACACACTGCCAGCCCAAACAGTGTTTGTTGAAGACATTTTTGTTTAAGTTTTGTTATTTGTTCAAAAAGAGTCCAAAAAGAAAAAAAAATCTGGATGTAGTTTACTGAAGTCAAGTCAGGTCAGGTTTATTTATTGAGCACATTTAACGGTGCAGTGTGTAGGATTTAGTGGCATCTAGCAGTGAGGTTGCAGAATGGAAACTTCTCCTGTGTGCCAAGTGTGTAGGAGAACTAGGGTGTCTTATGTGAAAATGCAAATGGCCCTATCTAGAGCCAGTGTTTGGTTTTCAGGTGATTATAAATAAATGAAAACATAGTTATGAGTATCATATACCAATTTTGCCAATAGATGACCCTAAAACCTACTCACTG